GCAAGTATCGACATGAAAAACTCTCCTGCTATCGAGGCCACCTCCTCCAAGTCGAACTATCCCTTCTATGAGGATCGTTGGGTTTCAACAGCTGCCTCGCTAGGAAATANTGCCGAAGCAGTCTATGTCACAAGCTTACAACCCCCCAAACTGTGCTTCATACGTTCGTGTTATGGGGCCGGGGGTATCGAACTCGCGATCACAGTTTACGTGGACACAAAATTTTGCAAGTATCGACATGAAAAACTCTCCTGCTATCGAGGCCACCTCCTCCAAGTCGAACTATCCCTTCTATGAGGATCGTTGGGTTTCAACAGCTGCCTCGCTAGGAAATATGACACGAAATTAAAAAAAAGAGAGCACAATGTGGTCCCCTCTCTCCGTTCCCGTAACCCCCCAACCTCCGTCACAATAATGTATACGTACGCGTGTTGATACACGCCGAGAAATCGTGTAAACCGCGCAAGAATGCCAAGTACTACGCGAGAGCCACCTCATCTTGGGTTCGAGAAACAGCCCGGTCCCCATACTCCCCACCCAAAACCGCGAACTTATTATCCCCGTCCCTGAAAACCATCACCAACACCGTAACTCAAGCAACACTACGCTACCGCCGAAACCGCAAGCAGGCACCACATGTTTGAGAAAGGACAGAACAACAAACTACTTAGCGTCATAGATAGTCTTTTGGATAAAGTTGGCAATCCGGGTGGCGGGAATCGTCTGTACTCCTGCTTCCTTCAAGGTAGCCGCAAAATTTTTATCCTTGGCCAAGTCCACCAGCTCCGTCAAGGTGGGCAGCGCGTCGGTCACGAGACTCTTCGCCGCGTCTGGGATATTGGGCAGACACTCCCAGAATTCTTCCTAAGAGTCCCATTGGATGACAACGCCTCCTGCAGGAGTCCGGAACGTGGACGACATGAAGTCCAGCAATTCCTCGTGCTGTTACTCAAACGGGTTGCAGACCATGCGATCCAAGCAAAGGCGGCGGGCAGTACATCGAACCAAGAAAACAATATGCATGTGAGATGTGGACGCGACAAGGATAATCAAACCACGTTATGTGGGCCCGAATGCGGGAGACAACTCCGGGGATATGCGTGCACTCAGCCCACCGAGCGTACAGGCTTGCCTACGCTTTTCAATCAACTGGGTTAGGGGTAATGCATATCGCGGGCCATGTCCTCTGCTAGATTAACCCCAAACTCGGAAGACGCGAGGCGCCCAATCTTTTTTGTGAGGTACCAACGACCCCACGCATGATGCGAGTCACCAACGCAACCCTTAGCGTCGTTCGGAACGAGTACTGGAGCCGAACTATGGCAACATTTACCTGCGCATCTTGCTTCTTCGCACGGTCGGCTTCAGCAGCCAACCTCTGTTGCCGATAATGCTCCGTCCTCGCGTCCCTAGCCTTCTCTCTGGCTGCAGAATCCCGTGCTTGCGCTTCCAGGATATCCTTCGTCTGGCGGGCTACCTCCAGTTGCTTTTCCGCCCGCTCCCCTTCCTCACCGTTGCGCTCCCCCAGCCTTTGCGCCTGGTCTTGGAGTGACTCCATGATTGCTGTAACATTTCCCCTCGCCTCCTGCTGGGCTTGCCTGGCTGCCATCTGTCACGTGCGTTTCGTATGGCCGTATGAAATAGGGAAACAGTGAGGCATTGGAACTGACAAAGCGGGATGGCTGGACATTCGTCCAACCATTCGCGAAGTCTCGAACTTNTTGACCTCGCATCCCTACAAAGCCGGGACGGAGCACGCCGGAGGCTCACCGGGCCAGGCTCTCACATCACCAAGCGCGAAGCGCCGTGAGGTACTCGGCGAGTCGCATCAAGGGTTCGCTGCATCCTGCTAAGGGTTTTCGGCATCTTGTGCTTGCTTTCTTGCGTACGGATGACAGCTGCGTATGACT